GGACAGATGGACATACTAGCGGACAAACTTAGACCAATTCTTAAATTTATTTTGAATCGATTACTACAATAAATCTCTCAACATTTGACATACCTAGTACCATAACAAAATTGAGCACAAGAATACATGGATAGACATTAAACGGACACAAGGACATACTGGCGGACAAACTTAGATCAATTCGTAAAGTGATTTTGAATCGATTACTATAATAAATCTCTCAATATTTGACATACCCAGTACCACAAATGGTTTAGGGTATAATGGAGATTTGTGTTTTTAAGCCTTGTGTTGTTAAAGTTGAATGAATAGCATTTCATATGTGTGTTTGCTTAGAACATAAATAATATATTACATTTAATTCGAAAGCTACTTTAAAGTGTTGCAATTTATTTAATGTTTAAAATTTAAAAATTTTCCTGTAGATATGAATAAATAAACGCTAGAGAATTTTTTTTCCCGGATTGAAACAAACTTTTTGGAAGCCCTCACGCATTACTATTGTGTTATTAAATGAAAAATTTTCATAGTTGTTCCTGGTAGGATTTGATAGCTTTTCAGGTGGTTTTAGACATCGTAATGTAGGAAAATCGTAATAGGTTTGAAAAAAAAAAAAAAAAAAACAAAAAATCCATTTATGTTAAAAATTGATGATGATATGTTCACTCAATTCATTCAGTTTGTTTTGGTATGCGCTGATGTCAGTGATGTCTCTTTTATTAGCATTTGTATACATTAGCACGTGTCAAGTGTAATTTACAATTGCGTGAATGTAAGCAAATCTCGGACTGAGTTGAAATAGACAAAGAGTTTTATTATACTAATCGACGCGGATTATTAAAAAATAATTCAATGCGTGATGCGCCATGCATTTTGGCCTAAGGATTTATGGTATTGAAATTCCATAAGATTCGGGGAACTAGTTTCACGAATCGTTTAATTTGCAAAAATGTACTATTTTTTTAGTGTGTCTTTGTAACGGAAATGGAAAAATTTTGAATGAAATGAGGCCAGTCTTTGACCATTCCGCCTTTACGAATTTGCTTACATAAGATCTTTGCCTTTGGTATGATAACAAGGTCAAATTGTGAATATTTTATGATGAAAATTATCCCAAGATAATAATTTGATATATAAATTTACTAAGTTGAATTTGGATAACGTGGATCTATTTTTTAGATAGGCTTTGTACGGTAACAAAAACTAGCTTTTAATATTTTATGACAAAAATTGATTAAGAATAATATGTTCTTTGACAAAAGAACTAACTGTAGTCAATTTACACTATGCCTCTACCTTTTTAGAATTTACTAAAATATTTCTTTACATATAAAGTAAGCCTTTAGATGGCAAAAAAATATACACAGTTTCAATAACTAATAACGAAAGCAGTTGACGAATAAATATTTCTTTGTCAAAAAACCTAACGGATCTAAACTTTGTTCACGCAGATGCATAGTTAGAACTTCGTCGGATAAACGACAAAAAAATCCTAGTTTTTAATAAACAAGAAGAAGAATGAAGAGAAGAAACATGAATGGATAATATTGGACATACACTGACGCTCTCTCGACGCTCGGTTCCAGGGAGACCATTGAAGAGAGAAAAAGATGATGACATCTTAATCGATTCAGAAACTCATTTTGCATATATGAGAATTGTAGCTACACACTGGAATTGGAAAGTTAATATACCCTTGAGCAGTGAGTATGAAATATGAAAACGCAATAAAATATAAAGCTTTTTACATGTATGTTCCTGAATGAAATTAGTTTACACTCATACAAGTTGATTTTCTTGCCTATACTTTTCATGTCATAAAGTAAAGAAAAGCAAAGAATGTTAGAGACATTTATGATAGAACGAAAATAATGCAACAACATTGACTATTTATTGCATATATGCTTGGAAGAAATAGCGTATTCGCTTATCGTATTTTGGCAGATGTTTATGTCAACGTTGTATGCGAGCTGTCATAACTCGCTGATGGAAATTATGTGATTTCAACTCTTGTACGTGCAAACAAATAATATCACAATATGTAGTAGATTTGACATTTTACGTTAGCGTTTTATTGCAAACTCTCTTTGATTGGATTCTCTGATTGGCTGCTAAGCGATGTAATCAGTGTTTGACTAAAGATAGGTGTAACTGAAGAAAATCTCCTGTAAATTCAAACGTAACATATCGTTCTTCATCGTTCTCGATTAACGTACGTATTGTAGTATTGCGATCTGCGCCATCTTACATGGAGTCTGTCCTTGGGCAAGCAAGCAAGTTAATGGACCAAATTTCATCAAAACATAAGAAAACAAGACAGACAGACGGACGGACAAGTTTAAATCGATTTAGCGATTGATTCTGAATCGACCGTTCTGATAAAAAATAGGTTTAAAAGGTAGGGATTTTGTAGCTATAGCAATGCCTGCTTTTTGTTTTTAAATTGATAACATTTATCGGATTTTATCGTAAATAAATTCATTTCCATTAATTAATATTCAAATATAGAAAATGTAAATTATGTAATCAGGGATACATATATTAATTTATAAAATATTAATTAAGTAAAACAAATTGAAACACTATTGGGCGAGCAAGGCCGACATTTACGTATCATGCACCTCTATATCAAGCTACCTTCGCCATAGAATAGCACGAGTTAGAGATGGCTTACCTTTACATAGGTTTATGATGGGGTCCAAAGTTAGCCCAATAAATACCTCGGGCAAATAATTATATGTGCAAATATAGTTTTATTTATTCATTCCGTTCGAAATTTAATGGTAAATTATTTGTGGGTTTGCAATATATTTGTGTGTACATACACTTCCTCTTTCTACTTATTTCGCCTGTAGCTGTTGTATAATTACCTGACATTAATAGACAACAATTCTATGTACAATTATTATCATACGAGTCTTTTCCGCTGAAATGTGGACATTTTAAATTTTATTTAATACTTTGCAGAAAAGACCTCCGCGTAGGTAAAATAGGGCATCGTAGGTAAGTAAGGCATTTTCAACATCTAAATTAAGGAACAATTGTGTGTGTGCTTAGTTTTGATAATAATTAAAAATGCCACATGGAAGCGAACATACGGAAAAGGAGCGGGAGAAAATTGAAGGAACGAGACTTGTTGGTAAGAAAATTGACGATGCGGTCTCTAATCTAAACGGCGTCTATTATTTACAACATCCTGACAAATTATGATTGCATTAAGCGACAAATACAAATTAATTAAAGTAAAGTTATCTGATGAAAGATGTATGATTTTTTTCATAACTAACTTTCTTTTTCAAGAGATAAGCAATTTTTTGACGAGATCGATACCATTTTCATATCCCGCGCCACTTGATATACAAAGTTTGTGCAGATGTATGCAACGCTGAAAAAGACTTGAGATAGGCCCATTTTTACTACACTGGTTTCTAATCGATTTAAGCTTCTAGGTTTGCCTGTTCGCCCGCTCATCTGACCGTTTGCCTTGTTTTCAACCTACAGGTCACAATTCTTGATGAAATTTGATACATCGAGATATTTTGGCCGGATCAGACCAGTTTTTACACTTTACGCCATTTGCGTGTGTGGTAGAAAGTTATATTAGGTTTGCGCGGATTTGTGCAACACCCAGAAGTTCTTGAGATAGATCTTTGTTTAGTTATGCCTATCGAATCAGAACTTAATGCCGAGCTTACTTGTCTGTTTGCCCGTTTTGGTCTTTTGTGTTCAACCTGTAGATAGCAATTTTTGAGGTATTTTGATGAAGTTTGGTAGACTGATGCGTCTCGGTCCAAGGAAAATGATTCGAATCAGGTCAACTTTTCGACCACCTTTCATATGATACCTTTTTTTTCAGGTGGTCGTTGCATAAATAACTGCATTAAGTGACATAGTGTAGGGTTTCATAGTGAATTGTGTCCCCCCAATAGCGTTTTTACTTGTTTTTTAATCAATTTTTTAGGAAAGCTTTACTGACTCCGCTAGAGAACCTTATATTGCAGCTATACTTGACCTTAGAAATTATTCAGTTGAGAATTCGATTATCTCAAGGGTAAAGCTCACAGGTTACTGTGCATCACCTTTTTGTTTTACTAAAAAGTATAATTCGGTGCACAAACAAACGTGTATAGGCGTGTGCAAGAAACTTACCCCAACACGTTGAACAGTCAGTCTTTCGTAAATAAATTATAGAAAATGAGCCATAATTTCTTATTCTCTATGTCATGTTCGTGCGTACACAAGCAACAAATTTATATGCTCTTGCCACATATAAGTGGTATAGAGAATAATTAAATTTCCCCGCCTTTAGTTGATGAATAATAAAAAAACATCAAAACAATTATTATTGAGAACTAAAAGTTCCTACGCAGGGAATCGCTTTGCTATCTCGTACAAGATTAAAATGAAATCATAATCAAATCAAAGAATATTAAGATAAAATCTTTTAAATTGTATTTCTAATGCACAAGTAAAGATATTGAGAAAAGTTGAATAATGAAGAAAACAAAAAAAAAAAAGAGAAAAATATATTAAATTAATAGCAGCAAACTACTTTGAATCTTCTATTAAGCTGTCAAATGAAATGAAATGAAATGAATGAGAGAATGATTACGCATAAGCCTGACGCAGAATAAGTAAGTAAGTGTTAGTGAACGAATGCTTAAAAGAAATGATTGCATTGTATATGTATGTCTGTATGTATTTATGTAAACGTCATATATACATATATAGATGGATATATATGAAAAGAGAAAAGAACGTAAATTTTCAAATAAAATAAAAAAAAATGGTTTTTTTTTTGGTTTGTGCATAAAATTGTTAAATAAGATGAAGAATTTAAATGGATTTGTGGTTTACCTCTGATCTGCAAGTGAGCGAATGATTGTTGTTGTTATTATTAATAATAATAATGTTGTTGTTGTTGTTGTTGTTTTTGTTGTAATAATAGATAATTACAACACCGGTATTATTATATTATTATACAAAAGGGAATGTTTTATTTTATGAACGTTTTATAATGTGTTTCACAGAGTGTACGGCAGTAAGAGTTGTGTTGTTATTGTTACAACAGTAACAATAGTAATTAACCATATTTTTTGGGAGCAGTGGTTTTTCATTGTATATATATATATATATTTTTTTTTTTAATAAAAGATTTTTATGTTTCCGACACGTACGTACACACACACATACAAAATTTTAGTATTTTAATATTATTGCGAAAGCAGAGTTTTTATGTTTCAACAGCAGATTAAGTTTTATGTGTTGTAATAGTAGTAGTAGTAGCAGTTGTTGTTGTTGTTATTATTGTTATTTTTATTTTTATTTTGTTTTTGTTTTTCATATGTGTAAGCATGTGTGTTTTTGTGTGCTCGCATACATTTTTGAGGTCAGTTTTTGGCAATATATAAGCGCACGTCCCCAACGAAAAAAAAAAATAGACATCAACATAAGCCGTACAATGTGTATATAGAGCAAAAATGCATTGCATGGTCATTTCGTAATTCGTACAAAATGTTGGTTATTCGGTTGGTTCATATTTGAGTAACCCAGAAAACAATGTAAGCAAAGCAATGTAAAACGAGAAAAATAGAAAGAAAAGAGAGCATATGGAATAGATAGAAAGAGAAGCATAGATATGTTTAGATTTTCTTTAAACGTTCCCAAGACCAACTGTAAAATAATATATAAATACAAACATATATTATGTGTTTTTGTTGTGGGCGTGAATACGTGCGGGCGTGTGTAAAAATTAGCGGGATTAAGGATATGTTTGTGTAGTTGATGGTGTTGTGGTCGGTAGTGTTGGAATTTTTTTTTGTTTTTATTTGAAAAAATTTTTTGTAGTTTATTTAATGAAATGGAAAACCGGATTAATGATGTTTGTAAAGATGATGATGATAATGGTGATGATTATGATTTTAGTTGTTTGAGGATTTTTCATATAAATTTTTTTAATTTTAATTTTGTGGTTTTTGTGTATTTATGAGATATCATAAAATGAAAGTAGAGAAAAGTTTAAAGATTAAAATCAAGGATTAAAGTTTCTGTTCATTAGGTTAAATGAAAATGAATCGATGCGAACAAAATACCAAAACGAAAAAAAAATATTTCCCGGGAATGAATTTAAAAAAAACACTTTGAATGTAAAGCTTTTTAAGTATATACTACAAATTTTTAGTATTAAAATACCGTTAGTAAGTTTTCTTTCAAAGAGACAAGCGTTTCTCTGTTGTCCCATTTTAGGTTTCGCTTTTCTTTAACGGTTTTTCAAGTTAAGTTCTTATTTTGGTGATTGATTTCGGGTTTTTTATCAACTACAAGACAATGATAGAATATCTGGTCAATATATTCGATCGAAAGATTTGAATAGTCGTCGATATATGTAATATACGCTCTGGCTAATCAGAATTAAAGCACACAGGGGAGAATACTGTGGCATTGGGCAAACGCTTTGGTGCCATCAATTTTGATTTGTTAGCTATGCACAGTCTTCACGACCACGTACCCGTTTAATACCAAGTGAGGGGCTGTTCAAGCTTCTAAGATGCTCTTGCAATAAAACGAAAAGCAAAATCAGATGAGAAACGCTTTTCTTGGATTTATTTCTCCTTCCTTTTATTGTAGCAAAACCTAATACAGTAGGGTTTGTAGAGTTCTACAAAGTATATAATCTCTTTTATGTGCAAGAATTAAGAAAGATGCTAAGAAGTCATTGTTTCTGTTAAGTCATTACTTTTATTAGAAAAATTTCTATATTTTTAAAGTTCAATAATTTGACATTTTTTTAACTTTATTTTCCCGTTTTTTCCCGAAATGATTTCAAAATTCCTCTATCGTTGCGTTGTCCATTCAATATTGTGAAAATAATTTCTTTTCTTATGTAAATCCTTAATTATGTGAAACCTAATATAACTATAGCTATCAATAGCAAATGCACATGAGAAGGTATCAAAGTAGTGCAAGAGCAACCCGTAAATGCTCTGTAAATGCAATGTATACGAAGCTTACTGGTTGTAATGAGCTTTAGTTCATTGTAGTAATTAAGAGCTTTACATTAAAAATAATTATCGTTAGGTAAAAATTATGTTAAAAACTAGTAAAAAAAAAAGAAAAGAGAAATGTACAAAGGAATGGCAAAAATATAAACATGAATCATGTTTGGAGGGGCAAAGGGTGTAAAATGAAGAGGAAAGAAATGCGAAACAAAGGGTACAATCAGCGTCTACTTACTCTGTGTCGGTAATGCTAGTGAGTGGTGCCAATGGCTGCATAGGTGCAACTATACTTGTCGATGGTGGTGACGATGCTCTTGAACTATGGCGGGAACTAGAATTTAGAGTGTGTCTGTTTAGCACGCCGGGATTATTGATGTCATTAACTAACATAGTGTTCGCTGTGTGACCATTTAATATTTGGTGAGAACTATGTAGCGCCGGCGAAGGGCTATGACCTAAGCTTAGCTTTCGCGCAGAATTTAAATGATCTTCTTCTGCTGTGTAGGGAAAATGATAGCCATTTTTATCAGAATTTTCAGACATTCGATCTGAATGGTAATCTTGATGAATTTGCTGTTGCTGTTGCTGCAAATGCCTCTGTTGCTGCTGATAATCATTCTTGAGCAGAGAATGTACTGAATGCACCGAGTCTCCTACATAGGCCGCCGGTTGTTTCTTTAAACAATATTGAGTTTCTCTTGATCCATAAAGATCTGGAGTAATCCGCTCTTTAGACAGATAGCTTCCTATTGGACGTTGTTTATCATAAATGCTATCACTGAGATAAGCATTGTCATTGTGCAAACTTCTCATATGATTAACAATCTGAGAACCACCGTTTCCGGTCGCTCCACCGTTTCCATTGTTGCCATTGCCCGAGTAATCATGTTCACTCCCATAGTGACTAGGCGGTTTGTAATTACTTATATTTGGCGGTAAGACTTCATACTGCCCGTAGTTTTCATTTCGCCGCCCGTACAAGCTTTCACGTTCCAAACCGTCATAACTATCAGCATTGTTGCGAACGTTTTGTAAATTTTCTAATATCGAGGGAGGCATATTAATTTTGTTGTGATGCTGCTGTAGATAAGAAGTATCGGTGAGATCTGGATTAGGGAGCGGGTTCGGAGATATGGTCACTTTTGGGCCGTGAGTGTTTCCGTGGTGTACGTGTTCGTTATCTGAGCCAGTTTCTTGCGACCATCGACCTATATTGGATGGCGGCTGCAAATAGGAATCCGGCAATTGGCTAGACCAACGTGGGGCATACACTGGCTTACTGACACTTGGAAATAATTGAGGACTTTGTACTACATTTAACTCCGGTGGAGTGGTAGCTTGTACATGTTCCGTGATGTTGGGTAAATATGACGGTGTTATGCTAACAGCCGTACTGCGATGCGTGCTGGTGCCTGTGCCAGTAGTCGACGAGCGATTAGTTCGCGACTCGTCGTCGTCGCTTGAGTGACTTGAAGCCAACTCCAAGGATCTACCATCCGTTTCGGAGCCTGAATCAGAATCTTTGCGATGACGTCGGGGTTTTTCTTCTCTTCTGCCGCTAGTTGTAGAAGAGTCAAAACCTCTCAAAAAACTAGGAGCGTCACTAGCTGAATTATAGTTTGAAGTTGACGTAGAAGTCTGTCTTAGTTGCCCATCACTATGAAGAAAATATTATAAAGTTCATAGTGCAATAAGTAATTAAACTTGGTTTTTGATTAGCATATCAGCTACCTGTAAGGGCTTGAACTGGTTTTGGCCGTGCTCCTTGATGTCGTGCTCGAAACGCTAATGCCCACGTTGCGACGTTGCGTATCATAATTGGTGGTCATAAAATTGTTTGGTCTTGCATTGCCGTTAACGTTATGTGAACTATTGCTTACAACCATCGATGAATCAAGCAGGGGTACTTTTCTACCCATGCAACGTAAAAGTGTTCTTTGCAGATTTTCACGCACCCTTTTGTTGATGATACAATAACCCACCAGGCAAAAAATTGCGTGCAATACGACAACGCCAGATAGTAACATACTTAGCAGTTGAGAATTTTCAGAAGCTGCCAGCACAGCCAATACCCACATTACACCCATTAATGGCAGTGATACCACAGAAAGCCAGAGTAACGTGCGTAAATTACCAAAACCTAATACATGGTCCTTTAGGGTGAAAGCTGCTTTCACCGAAACAAAAAGTATTAGCAAATTAACAACCGACATGCCGGCAATTGGCCCCACAAGCCACCACACCACAGGCTCGTACACAGACAACCAACAGCTGCAATTTAAAGTAAAAGTATACACAAGTTATTGAAAGAGAGAGTCACCATAAATTATAAGCGCGTTTTTCCCTGTGTGCATATGTTCGTATGTGCAGCTTTGCAGTAAGGGTTTACAAAATCAATCAGTGTGATACTTACAATAGACTGTTGCCGTATTCGTGAGCCCGCACGCCTACTGAAAGACCCACCACGATAGCCGGCGCACCATAACCCATTGCAAAGTAAAAACCCATTGGACCATGATTAATATCACGCATCTCGGTTAGCATCCGATATAAATGCACACAGTCAACCGTTGTCCAAGCGAATGCGGCCAACCAAAAGTAATGCAAACAAATAGCAATCAGCTTGCAAGGGAATTCGTTTTCCAACAAATTACGGCGTGATTGCATGCTCACAAAAAATAGTAACTCGGCACAGAATACACATAGCACAATATTTTGATGAATCGTATTCGAGTTGGTTTGCTGGCCACGCAACAATGCCAAAGCAATCAATACCCCAGTCAACATGGGCAAGGATACCATAAACGCAGAATAAGAAGTGATTTGTACAAGCAAAGATGGTTCAGGTATATCTTCCGGATCGATTACATCGACAATTACTGCATAATTGGAGATATGTGTACATGTGCAATTAACCAATATGGGCTGACCAATAATTAGCAACAATTCATCGTAATCAGGTATATCGGTTTGACAGCCCAATCGTGTCCACTGATTGGTAAATGAATTCCAGCGCACACATTGGGGATTTGAGCGAGGTCCGAAACGTGCTGGCTCGATGTCTAACCACATTTCCAGCTTAATAGGCTGTGAGAGATGAGGCGATCCTAAAGAACGATAGGTAACATGCTGGGGTTTTTGATTTTGCTCGCTAGGATATATCACTTCTACTTGGCGTTTCGCTAATCGGCGATTGCGATAAAAGGCCTCATTTTCTCCTTTCTGTTGTTCCTCTGATTCTTCGTAGTTGGAGCTATGAATTTCTGGTGAATCCACGATTTCTTCACCCGAATTACCATGAAACTCTATATTATCGTCGAACCGCACATTAACTCGAGGCTCTTCGCCGTTCATTTCGACCTCCATCGCTTCATTGCTGGATTGTTCACGTGAAGAAGGTATTTCATGGGCTGTAATGCGTATATTTTCTATAATATTTTCATTACTGCTACCTTCACCAGATTTTTTTGGTACATCGAAAACTTCGATGAACTCCTGTTCAGTTGATCCCGAAGATGACACGGATTTTTGCGAAGAGATTTTACGATACGGAATTTCTACACGTTTTTCTTCTAACTCATTAGACGGCACGAGAATGGCCAAAGATAAAATGGGTGAAGCCACTTCAATATCTACACCCCAGCGACGTGTGATCGTATCATCAAACATGTCAGGCAATAGCTGTCCTACGTCTTTGTATTGTGCATACGAAACAATGGCTCTGTAATCGCTAGAACCTTGAGTGACTTCATTGCTGTCAGGTGGTGTTATACCCAACATATCCAACGGTACCAACACTTTGGTAAACTTATCGAATTTGCTTTTATCTTGTATATAGTTGTTATACTTAGGAAAAGTGATAACAGGTTTTTGTTTAGCACTATGCTGGAGGAAACCGCTGGTGTCAGGTAAGACAACACTTTCCGTTGTAAAAGCGTTTGGCTTTAAGTACTTGGTTTTGTGGTATTCACTTAATTGTTCTGGTTCGTAACCGAACAGGGATTCCGCGGTGACTATGTCTAAGCCAAGAGCCACATTTGGTTGAACAATTTCAAAGGGATTTGTGTAGGTGTCGTGTTGTGAGCGTGCCAAAACTACCATATATTTGTTGAATGCATCCACTAAATCGTCGGGACCTCTTTGAATGAGTTCAGAAGCTCTCTTCCATTCCTCTGCGTATTTTCTATCTAAAATGACGCTTGCAGCGTCTACTAGGTTCTTAATAAAGTATTTATCTTGCGAATGAGTTAAATTTAAGCCATTCTGCATCAATTCATAATTAATTAATTCTTGCAATAAACCTTCAGTAACCAAGAGATCAGCGCCATATAAACGATCGTGAGTAAATTTCGTCTCGTCTGAAAGGTATTCCATTTCTAATTCATGAGACCATACATTGTTGCCTTCATTTAGTAGAAATGATGATTCCATTTTGTAACGTCTGCCACCCTTAACTATAGGTTTTTTGCTAATACTGTTGCGATCTACTGCCGCGCAGGCTCTTTGTAGATCTTCGGCCATTTTAATGGCCACGAAAGAGTTCAATTCTAATTCAAATTTCTCCATTTGTGACAATTGCTTACGTAATTCTACAAAGGGATCCGATGTACAATTGAACATGTCAGGGCTACTCCATCCACCCGATAAGCTATCGCAAGCTCTCTGTCCCTTACCTCGTGCGGGGATAGGACAATTTTCGACTGTAGTGCTACCTAAAGGAGTCCTTGGCCACCATATTCCCGCAGCAAATGAACGCGGACAAGCATCATAGACCACCTCACAACCGTTCAAAGTGACTTCAGCATAAGGATTTGAACAGGCATCACAACGGCGTCCTATTACACCTTCTCTACACTCACATTGTCCGGTTAAAGGATTACAGGCACTATTAAAAGATCCTACAGAATAGCAGTCACATGGTATACATGCTGTTTCATTTGGAGGTTGGTAATGATTGGTTTTGCAATGACACTGGCCTGTAGTCTTGTGGCAATCAGGATGGTATCCCTGCTTTGTGTTGCATTTACAAGGACCGCAAACCTTTTCGCCCCACCATCCTCCTGGACAAGGTTGTTGTACAGTTTTTTCGCAATATTCGCCATGTTGGTAAGTGCTATTACACTCGCAACGATAACCACGCGACTCACTAATATTTGCTCTGCATACGCCAGCGGCGCAGGGTCTTATTGCACAAATAGGTAAACAATCCACTCCTACATAGCCAGGTAAGCATTCACAGCGAGCCTGATCCCATTCAGTGGCACAAGTTGAATGTGGTGCACACGATTCTGGACATTCTGCACGCGAAACGCAACCATCCTCAACATTTTCGCGTATGGTCGGTCGTGATAATACCGCCTGAGAAGCTCCAATGCGCACATCTTGAATGCATCCCTCATAGGGTAGTAAATCTCCCACTTGGCCTATTGAACTGTCGGCATTGCCCAAGACTATTTTTCCCACATAAAGACCTTGAATTTTTTGTGATATAGGAACTGAGCCAGTTCGCTGGCCAAAATCTACCGAAAATTGTATTTCGGCTCCTAACCATTTAATTTCTATTCGATGCCATTCGCCATCAGCTAAATAAGCAGCTGCCAAAAACATTGGCTCGTTGTCGTAAATATAATAAAGAATACCGTTTTTTAGGCAAACTACAGCAGAACTATTTTGTCCGATCTGTATTTGTATTAAAAAGGCATCTTTCTGCAAAGTACGTATCGAAAAGGAAGTAACCCAAGGCAATTGAATGGGTCTGAGCAATGGATTGAAGCTTAGGCTACCATCTCCCGAAAAGCGCCATGGAGCTGGTATGATATCTTGGCAATTATTACCGGCGTAGCCCTCAGGACACTCGCAAGTATAAACATTCCAACCTTCGCGGCAAACACCACCATTGAAGCAAGGATCCGACGAGCATAAGGAATTTTTCTGAGGGCATCCGGATATAGTTCCATTATCAGCAACATAGGAATTGAGATCTATATAACGCTCGTCTATACGTAAGTCGGAAATGCATCCGATAAAGTCTTGGTTTTCGATTGGGAAATGAGCGGGTATTCTAGGTAAGCCACCAATTTGCAAAGGTCCAGTTAAATCTAAAAAGCGGTGGCAAGTCTCCGTTAGCAAAGCACATCTCTTATCAAGTTTTAAAGTAGTTTGATTAGCGCAACTCCAGCGATCTCCCAAATTGCCCGCCAGAGCTATGGATGTATCACATTTGTCTAATACTAAGGTTACGGTGCGGTTTAAATAAACAACTTCTATATCATGCCAATGACCATTTGATACTTTGGCCTTTTGCATCACAGACAACGATTCGATACGATCACCCAAGGAATAGGAGAAGCTAATATGACCATGCACAATTTCCAAGGCAATAAAGTCATGTAATTCATTGTAACGGCCATTGTATAAAAGTAAACCGTTCTCATGAACGGTGGCAAACCTCAGTTTTAAATTAAATCGATGTCTTTGCTTTAGACTCTCGAAAGTAAGAAATGAATTCTTTGAAAATGAGCGTGAACGCAATTCACACGTTGCTGTATAAGGCGGTGGTTGAGAACTCATGAAGTTATTCATGCACGAATAGCCACCCTCACATATATCCGACATGCATGGTTTCAATTTTCTAATATCAGTCTCACAGTTAGCTCCAGTATGGGAAGCCTGACAAACGCAAGTGTAACCACCCTCGCGACGCACACAAGTACCGCCGTTAAGACAAGGATCTGAGTAACAAAGATCAACTTCTGTATCGCATAAATAATGTTCTTTACTGCCAGTGAAACCCTCTGGACAAGAGCAGGCAAATGTATTAACTGGATAGATGGGACGAAACAGCACAGTGTCGCTGTGTATGAATTCGGATGCATTACCAAATTTAAGCACCGTGAGACACTCTTCAAAATTTAAACATGGCTCTCTTACGCATAAATTATCATCGAAAGGTAAAACTTCAACGGTAGCCAATCTGGCTAGTATGGCACGATTAAGATACACACGTTCTTGCAGATACTGGGGGGTGTAAAATTCTTCGTGGGAAACGTCTGGTCTCTTGGCTGAAAAGCTCACGTTTAGTATGCGGGATGTAACATCTGTATCATCTTGTATGGAAAAGATGAATATGTTTTCTTTAGGGCAGGGTATAATAGCAGCCAATCCGTCCAAGAAGAAGTTAAGTAACGGTGAAAGGAAAGCTTCTTCAGTCATTTCGTTAAGCCGCACTGTTACGGAATTGAAAAGCATATCTTCAGTAATTAAGCGAACTGCTAACTGCATTATAGCTTTAGCTTCATTGATGCCATCCGTTACTGACACTTCCATTGTGGCGAATTTCGGCACGTTTGTATTCAGCTGAGGGCTAAGACTTAGACCTCCCGTAGTTTGATTTAAACGGATAAGATTAGCATTATTACCAGACAAAATGCGATACGTGAGCTTATCACTAACATCAGCGTCGAATGCAGGTATGCGTCCTATATCTCCACTAGGGAAATGATCCCGAAAGTTGTTAAATATTACCTGAAAATCTCTCAAAACTGGAGCATTATCGTTAACATCTGTAACCAAAATTTCAACGTGAGCATCGTTGCGCAGCGGTGGACTTGCAGCTCTTATCACCAATTCGAATCGTTTGCGACTAGATTCATAATCCAATTCAGTCATAGTGAGTAATTGTGCTCTTTCTGAACCTGGTCGCGTAACCAATGAAAATGAATTCGAATCATCACCACCAATAATAGAATAATGAACTACCGCATTTACACCCTCGTCTGGATCGTGTGCGTGAATTTCCCCAACAGCCGAGCCCACAGGAGAGTTTTCTGGCACATATAACGTAATTTTGTCGGACGGAAAAGTAGGCGGCGAATCATTTACGTCTTCTAAGCGAATTTGTACTTCGACGGTGCTCGAGAGAGGAGGAGAGCCTTTATCTACAGCGATTGCAGTTAGATGATAGACTGGTACACTTTCTCTGTCCAAACCTTTGTTGGTTCTTACAGTTCCGGAGGTGGGATCAATGACAAATGAACCGTCATCAACATCCCGATCACTAAGTAAATACTTTATACGACCATTTAGACCAATATCAGGATCTGCAGCAGAGACTTGTATCACTGAAGTACCTACTAGAGCGTCTTCCAATATTGAGGCTTGGTAAAGAGGATTTTTGAATTGTGGGGGATTATCGTTAACATCCGTGACACTAATCTCCACGTCGGTAGTGTCACTTAATGAAGGATTACCACCATCTTTGGCGGTAACTGTTAATAGATATCCACTAGTAGTTTCGCGATCTAAAAGGGCGTTAGTGACTATAGCTCCTGTTTGATGGTTTATGGAGAAAGGATCTGGACTGCTTAAACCGTTAATACTCTCTTCGTTCAGAGAGTAAGTTATTTGTGCATTTATACCTACATCGCTGTCAGAAGCGGAAACTACTAAAACTGTTGTTCCAATAGGAGCGTCCTCAAATACCGACGCAGTATAAGGAGCATTTTCAAAAATAGGAGCAAAGTTATTAGCATCTGTTATATTGATATTGACTGTGGCCGTATCAGATCTTCCGCCGGAATCGGTAGCAGTAATTGTTAGGAGGAATCGCTTTTCTTGTTTATAATCTAGAGATTGAGCTATGGTTATAAGACCCCGACCATTCTGCGAAGTGATAGCAAACCGTCCTCTTGTGTTGCCAGAAGTAATTTCATAATGAAGTCGAGAATCTTCATCAGGATCTGTAGCTGTAACAGTGGTTACAGGTGTACCTGGCGGTTGGTCTTCTCCAACATTAGCTTCATAATATTTGGGATTAAATACTGGATCATTGTCGTTGACATCCTGTACCGTAATTACAACAGTGGAACTGGCAGATTTAGGTGGTACGCCACCATCTTTAGCTATGACTTGAAAAGCGAAACGTCCCTGCTCCTCTCGATCTAATTGCTTTATAGTTTGGATCCAACCAGTGCGAGGATCAATAGCTAAAGGAAAGTTATCATCTCGTTCCAATATGCTGTAATTGATCTCAGCGTTTGCTCCTTCATCCGAATCGTACGCTTGAACGCGTATTATATTATATCCAACCGGAACATTCTCCAATACAGATTCTTGAAATTGCGAAGTGTAAAATCTGGGAGAATTATCATTGGTATCGATCACATTAACTAATAGTTGGGTGGTGTTACTACGCGAAGGGCTGCCGCCATCTTGAGCACGTATGACCAGGCGATAACTGCGCACGCTCTCATAATCTAATGGTTTCACTAAGCTTACATCTCCACTCATTGAATCTATGGAAAACTGCGACTGAGTATTACCGCCAATTATGGCATAACGAATAGCAGCATTATTGCCCTGATCAGCATCGGTAGCTCGTATATGAGCCACCACGTTATCGTCACCCCATTGATCTTCAGGTACCTGTACTGTGTAAGTGCGTTCGCTGAATTGCGGATAATTATCATTGTCATCCAGGATTTTTACTAAAACAGAGGCGGTAGCCGTTTTACGCTCGCTCTGGGCAGATGCCAGATCGGATGCTGTTACTACTAGACTATAACTATCAGAAGTCTCACGATCCAAGGAGCTGCGTGTGGCAATCACACCAGAACGGGCATCAATGCGAAAAATTGGTACTTCCTGATCTTGCAAAGTGCCCATACCATCTAGGATTTGAAAATAACAGAATTATATGTCAAAAAGGTTTGAAGAAAACTTACCTGTTATGCTTTCAATACTGTATTCGATTTCAGCATTCTTGCCTATATCTTGATCCGTAGCTCTTAAGGTAATAACTGTAGAGCCTACGGTGGCGCCTTCGCGTATAGAGGCTTCAAATTGCTCTGCTTCGAAAGTAGGATTGTGATCATTGCAATCCAAGACATTGACCTGCAGTGTCGTTGTTCCCGAACGAGGAGGGAAACTGTCATCGGTCGCCACTACTCGGAAATAATGAACATCCATAAGTTCGCGATCTAGACTAGCTGATGTGGTTACTACGCCAGTCCGTGAGTCAACTTTGAAGAAAGATTGCGAACGTGAATCGAGTAAAGACACCATCGAATAAACGACTGGAGAATCTTCAGGATCACGAGCTCGCACAGTTGTAACTGAAGCTCCTGAAGGCTGTTCTTCCAAAACTGAAGCTACATATAATGCTTGCTCAAAATAGGGAGACTGATTACGTAGCTCTCGTCGCACTCTTTTTGCTATATCGGTATCATTGAATTCCTGATGATGATAAACAATTTTCAATCTATGATCGGAATCTACAATATCGCTTCGTTCGCAGCGTATATTAAAAGTAATACTTATTTTCCAAATAGATTCGTGTATGCAAACGTCACGACTAGCTACTAAATCGCGATTTTGGTGTTCAATAGCAAATCTTTCATCATTAACGTCAAGGAAATTAACCTTGCAATACTGGCATATAGTCCGAGGTAAAAATGCATTCAAATTATTGATGAATTGAGAACGTCGTAAACAAATCTGATGCCACTTGTCGGTAGTGTGTATGGCGTACGAAGCATAAGTTTCTGATATCCATTGTTTTGCTTCCGAAATGCGACGATGTAAACGTGGCTCAACCTCTGTTCCATCATCTTCAGCTCTGCGCCGACGACTTAATATACGCCGAAGCATTTGGTTGTCGAACGAGTCACCAAACATTAAATTTGCGTCTTGAAAGTCCTTAGAATGATTATGACTCGAAACCTCTATAGAATTAGAAACGATATTACTTATAGATAACGCCTCCAAATAACGTCTTCTACGCCGCCTCCTCGAATAGCCAGTATCTTCTTCTTCATAGTGTCTGGCGTGAATCTCCTCTTCAACGCGGCGATCTTCATTACACTTATGTCCCGATACAAATATTCGAATAGGCAAACTATAATAGTCTATGCTACGCAAACGATTTGATGTTGAGTCTACGTAGAAAGTGAATAAATTCGGATAATAAATGCCATCACATTTAAGTGACTTTTTCAATTGTATTTGGCCATCTTTATGATTGACAGCGACTAGATGATGAACAAAATATGCCGATTTATGTGCATTGATCTTGTAATGACGCTCCGAACCCAATTTATACACGGACGCATTAAAAATAATTGTGCCTGGTGGAGTATCCTCATACACTACTATCAGATACGCATGAGATATTTGTACTGTCAGAACGTAGCTTAACAGAAATATAGGCACTAACATTGATTGCAGCAGTCGCCGGCTGTGCTTTCTGTAGAGCTTATCTTCGGCGCCTGGTTTCAAACGATTACTTGATTCCTTTGTTGAGAAGCAAACCTGATGTCGTTGTAGCTGCATATTGTGCGTATGAAATTCGATGGTTTGTAAATGTCGTTTGGTGATTTGGGAGAGAAACGTTGTATCGTTTGTATGTAATACAACTTGTAGTTGTGGTTAAATGTTGTTGTGCGTCAGAACCGTAATTAACCGCAAATCATGTACTCATGCCTCATCAATGGCCTGTCATTTGTTGAGCAAAATAAAATGATTTCAAGTGCAAATCTGAAAAATACAAAAGAAGGTAACAAGTCAAAGGGTTATAACTGATTAAGCCAACAACGTTTCAGTACGTGCTAGGTAATGTAATATAATTGAGATTTTAGTCGTTTAAGAATGAGACAACAATTAACGGATTGATTAACATTTACTAGAATTTAAATAAAATACAGTTATGAGATATGCAATTTTTAATGAATCCAAAAAAAATAAAACCTTAAATGTGCTGAAGAGAAATATGATGCGTTTTGAGCAACGTTATCTTATTTAATATTAGAGTAAATGAAAACTTAACGAAAGAGAATTAAGAAAACCAGTTCATGAACCGATCAATGAAACACTTTACTTCTCTGTTTTTCTTTCTCTTCTAAGCTCGAAAATTTCCATACATTCTGTTAATTGTTTTACTGGTTTAGTTTCACTTAGAAAGTATTAAATACAATACACTGCCCATATAGGTAAAAGATGTCGCTACTCTAAATTAATTTTCATCTATATGGGTTTTTCATATGCAAAGGTTTCGAATTAATATAAACTGTTCGAGGGCTTTCCTTTGGGATGCATAGTCGAAAAGAGAGATATATTTCAAGAAAACTTTAAGAGCTAGCATAACATAAATATTCATAAGAGCGAAAAAACATGTACACAAAAAAAAAAAAAAAACAGCAGCCATAACACAACAGCTTTAATTCACTTAATTCCATACTCTAACACTAATTTGGAAACTCTTTAGTTGAACAATATGCAGCGCTTAGGATGCGACACATACTGAAAGCACATAGCGGCACATATAATCCATTCGTATGTTTGTGTAGATGAAGTGTAAAAACACAAGTGTGTGCATATGTCGTACTTTTTCCAACTTTTAATTTAAATATTAAAGCAAATTTTTGCTGGAACAAGCAAGTCCGTCATGTAAATGTGTCAAGAAAAGGATGTTATTCTTCTCTTTGTTTAGTCTTTAATGCAGGCACATATGCACGCATATAGGTCCATACCTATGTGAATGCGTGCTGATATGCAAATATATGCTAACAAGTCCAAATGCTCCTAAAAAAAAAAAAAAAAAAAAAAAAAAAAAAAAAAAAACAACAAAGGAAAAAATAGCACAGTAACATATGTGCTTACACACCTATACGATTATTCGCATATACATATATAAATTTTCATGTAGATATTGTGTCGAGTTAGAAGTTTATATATGAGAAAAGTTTTCGACTTGCAGTTGCCATCTACGTACGTATGGATTTGTTGTATATTTGGTCTATGCAAAATACATACGCAGACACGTACATATACACACAAGCACATGGATGCATTTGCTGTAGATTTATACGGCTTAGAAACGTCCTTTTGTGTTCGGGGCAAAGTTTAAGTTGGTATAATTTTTAAAATTGATATCTGCCATATATACACGGATGTATAGATAAACTTAGCTAGGTTCGTGTGTTTATATAGTTATAAGGGTGCACACATGTACATATTTTTCTTCCATTTCCTTTAGCTTTTTTCTCTCTTTGGAATTTTAAGCATATAAAGCTTTTAAACTTTGAATATCTTATTAGATATATTCAAGGAAGGGTTTTTCTGGATAACAAAATAAATTTTGAAAGAACGCAAAACAAAATTAAAACAATTTATTCGTTTATCATAAAGGACTGAATGCATCGAAAGTGAATTCTTTTTTAACACAAATATTGACTTTTTCCCAATTTTTGTTTATAACCAAAACATCTTCACAATGTAATCGAAAGAGTTTCAATAATGAATTATTCACAATGCATTCAGGTAAAGGTTGCTTTGCATACAAAATATGATTAAATATTTTTATATTATTGATGATGTGGCGTATGAGTGCTTTGAATTTTTCTTAATAAATACGCAAGGGTATAAAGAATGTAATATGTTGCTCCTTGTGTAGTCTGCATTGAGAATGTATGCGAATGAAAATATTTTAACAAAAACTTTGGATTACGTACAGAAATTTCTTTTAAAAATAAAAGATAAACATCTGAAATTGAAAAAATAGATTAAAATTTTATTTGCTTTGATTTTTCTATATTTCTATATTTTCAAAACGAGACCAGACAATAGCAAAACTCTAATTGTTAAAATTTTCCATATTCACTTTAGATGGTAACAGATACCATAGCAGCTCAAAAGAAGTCATTTTTGACCATTTTTTGCGGTTGGAAGAAAAGCTAGACAATAGAATAATTATATTCGATGCGATTACTTCAATTTATATGTACGTGCAAAACATAATGTAGCAGTTAGATGTCCTTCTTGCAGGCGTCTTTAACTTAAGGACGTTTGTAGCAAGCAGAGTAAATGGCGTAAATTTAAATCTGAAAAAAAAGTAAATCGTCTACCTTAAAAAAGGCATGTAGAACTATACAAATAATGGTTATTTTCTCGTTGGCGCGCATTTCGAAAATGAAAAAAAAATTTTATACTGAGAAAAAAAAATAATTTGTTGCTAAATAAAGTTTATATTAACTTTTTCGATAATTCCCTCTCCCTTCGCTTTTTATGTCATGGTTTTAAAGATATTGAAAAAAATTCAAATGAAAAGAATAAAAATATTTTGGTTTTCGCGTTTCAAATTTTGAATTGAGTTTTAATTATGTTATCACTTCGTAATACTTTTTTTCATTTCATCTCCAAATATTCTTCCCCATTCTTTGCACTTTGTGTGTTGCGGGAATACGGGGAAAATGAAACAAAAAATGTAATTCTGTAGCTGATTTTATAGCTTACAACAAGTCTTCATACCGCGATTTGAATTTCTTGGCAGAAGTAGGGCAAGTTTTCGATTCGCTCTCAGCTTTATATTTATTTAAAGGTCGTCTTGATCAAATTATCCTAACATATTTTGTTTGCTAATCTTTCTAAATGAATAATATAAAAACACTTTCTATTAAGGAATTGGGATATAAATTACGAGGAAACATATTAGTTTGCAGAATATTTGCAAATTCGCTTCAGGTCGGTCTTAAATTGTTGATGCTTGAACTCCAGGCCTCTGGCTTGGAATACTTTCCCTTTGTACTTATTTATTTATTTATTTTATTTATTTACTTATTTATTTATTCTACTTATACATGGAACTCAATTAAAACAAATTGTTCAATTAACACTTAAAGTAAATCTTATATTAATTAATATTAAAACTTAGGATAAGTATAGTAAAACAAATAAAAAGGAAAAAAAAGAAAAAAACCATGTACACAACTAGCATAGAACCACATCCACAATCGGTACAGGAACAAATTGCACATGAGCCCGTAAGCCTTCGCAAACATGCATAAGCTTGGTAACCGACAATAGTTAACAACAATTAATTTTCGAATTATAATGACTTTTTAACGTCAAAAGCTAGTTTAAGTGGGACATAGGTAAATAACGCGTATCAAGCAATGTTGTTTTAATAGACATTAAAGAATCCGATAATGAGAATAACTGATAGACGTCATTTAGGTTCTTATCTTCATAACAAATCGTTCGGGGCTCTGTTTAACCCCATCATCTGGAATGAATTCCTCGTGATGTCAGCTGCCCCTCAAACCAGTCACTTAAGGCCCTTTTAATTCATTCTATATATCAATGATAGCACTTCGGTGGAATTCGGTCTTATCTTAACGTATCCTGACAATGTTGAACTGCTTTCTTCCTTTTCTTTGAAATCGCACTCATATTATCTTCAAATTGACTTAAATAGTTTGGTTAAATTTTATAAAATTCAATCTAAAAAAATGATAAAAACTTTCTTTCATTCATAAAAATTGCAAAACAGATTTGTTCGGGAAATTAAGGGTTCTATTCGATTAAAGAAGACAATGCGTTAATTTGTCCATTGAGCTCTGTTTAAGTGAATCTAGGTCCGCGCAAACTTTCATTAAATGGATTTGCCAAGGGCTTTACGATTCCTATAAAATAAAAAGGCAATGCACGAGGTTAGTCAGACCAATGCTAGGGCATGCCCCTGTTGTGTGGTCTGTTTCCTATAGGTGTTATGCAGATTCAATGCAATTCATTCGAAAGCAATTTTTGTTCTTTATCTGTAGGAATTTGGGTTGGGACCCGCTTGTCTTATTGCCTCCTCAACTCTTCTTAATCAACTCTTCTTAATACGCGCTATTTTTCTATTAATTTATAATCTTAACATCTTACTATGATTCGAAAATGAACTGAAAATGTTTACTGTCATCAGTTGTAAAGCATGCAATAGTTTGTAATGCCTTGGGGGCTTACCCAAAACTCGAATCTTAATTTTTGATGGGCATTTGAATTTTCGATAATATGAATTAGTTGGTCGACTGAAAGGAGAAATTGAAGATAAGCAAAACCCATGCTCGCCAAAGATCGAATTTTAGTACCGCAGCGAATTGGGCGTTAAAACACTGCGCATGATTAATGAACAATTATTTGGGCCATCTTGATTTCTCTTTAGATTATTATGTTGTTATTATTATTTCCTTTGAGAAGTTTTGCTATCGTAAAGGTGCCTCTTAACGTCTGTGTAAAAGAGGGTTTTGAGATTTTGAAATTCAATTTCTTAACTCAAATCGAAGATTTCTTTATTTATTTCTTTTTATACCTAATACTGTACTGTAAGATGGGGTGCACTCAAAAGGAAGCTTCAGAGACTCTATAAAGTCTACATACTCTTGATCATCGTGAAGTTTTGAATCGATTTAGCCATGTCTTTCGGTCTGTGCGTCTGCATGCTGTTTGTTCTTGGCACTATCCTCAAAATTGGCGAAACTGGTCAACGCAGAAGACCGCAGTAAAAGCATAAACTGAACGCAAATCCGTTTTTCTTAACAAAAATTTGTGGGCGTTTGCTCGTTACTCAGAAATTATAAATGTTAGAAGGTTATTTTCCATATATACTTTGCGGAGCACTCTACTCTTTACTTAATTAATTTAATTCTAATTTACCGTTGTTCATTTCTTCCTAATAATACCGGTGATATGGGTATCAAATAAAAGAACTTGGAGAG